CCTCATATTAGAAAATAGAGTAATACTATGGTTGCTTGTTTGTTCTATTTTCGCGTATGGCTGTTCGAGGGCTATCCGCGCCAGCCGTCCCAAATTTTTAAGTGATCAAGTGAAAGGAAGGCAGCTGGTCAACACCACCCACCACCAACTCTGTGGTTTATCATTACCGACGAATAGTGGGATTGTCTGTCACACTATATCACCCTCGAAGTTAATAGAGAGAACTTGTTTGGTGACGGGTATCAGTCCCGCACCCAGTCGATTGCGAATGGATCGTACTAACCACCAGACTATGCCAGTTCCTAATATTATGACTTCAAAAAAAAAACAATAGCACAATGATGGATATCTTTAATTATAAGCATGGCTGAGATTAGTACGTTTTTGTTATGTTTTTCTACTTATTTAATCTAGTGTTATATTTACAAGCCTTGGTTTTAAAGAAATGACAACTATTTGCAGGGTGCAAGACGTCAGCTGCCATAAGGCAATATGACACAGTGACCTTAAACACTGTTTCTTTCACTTTGAGCTATAGGTCTTGAATATAGAACGTCACTTGCTGTAAGACTGTTTGACTTTATATGGAAGGGAGGGGGGTGTGCTTGGTAGAATTTTTGTTTAAACAAACAAGTACATCAACATATAAACTGGGACTGTCTCGTGCTAACCAAGAGATGTTGCGTTACTTTTAATATACAAAATGTTGGCACGTTTCCAAAACCCATTGAACTCACGTCTCTTCAAGGTCAAAGAGAGTTCTTTAAAGCAGTGGGTACAGCTGTCCTTGAAAGTGGTATTTCACAGCCAAGGCCCTTTCTTTGACTATTAAACATTCTCAGAACTTTGGAGGTAGCAGATGTTATATTGATTTAATATATGCAGACAGTGTAGTGTTAACCATGGTAATCAACATACTGAGAACAGTCTGGCACTGATATTCAACAAACATCAGTGGCTAGCATAAGTTCGCTAGACTTAAATTTTTGGATTGGATTTTGCTACTCCATTTCGTGAAATTAAAGAGCGGGGAAAAAAAAGCGAAAAAAAAATGTCATAAATCAATGAAATAACTTTTTGTAATGAAAATTAACTTTTAATATATAAACATCAAGGTAATTAATAAGTTAATCCTAAATTTGAAGTGTCGCCTGTTCACTATAATTAGTCAAAGCAGGAAAATTTTTGTTTAATCAATATTAACATTTCTAAACGGCCTGGTGGTTAGGACGCAATATTGACGGGTTCGAATCCCATCAAGGAGCATTATCGCCCGTTTAGACGTGAGGACGTTTATAATGTGATGGTTAATCCCATTATTCGTTTGTAAAGACTAACCCAGTAGTTGCTTTCCCTCTGGTCTATAAAAATTACTGATAACTTGCGTAAATCCTAAAATCCTAAAAGTTTTTGGAAAAGCAAAACATCTGTACTCCATGTATGGTAAACAGAAAACATATATCAAAAAGCTCAATGGGTGGAGCTTTTTATCACAGATGATGGGCCATATACACTTTATCCGCTAGTATTTGAGATGCTAATTTGAGTTGGGAATTTATTAAATGATGATAATACAATTATAATTATGTTAATATATTTTACGATAACCTAAGCCTAATTATTTATTAGTTAGTGTTTGTATTATACAACTAGTATTTTATTATACGTTTCTGTTGTTTGTTTATGACACAAGTTTGGTTTTTTATTCACTCGATTGTAATCAATATATTGTTGCCTATCTGCTTGTTTATTAATTTCCGGTATAAATTCTTTCCGAGGAACTTTAGCGATACAAGTCCTTTCTTAATTAAAACTAGTTTATTCTTTCTCGATACAACTTTGTAATATACGGAATTTTCACAGTCACTTTAAACTTAACAATCTTTATAACACACGCTATAAATCACAGTGATTCATAAACTTTACTTGCGGTGCCTACTGTTCGCTTGACTCAATTATCTCTATCTTCAATTTATCTGCATATCTATCTATCGCTGGCTTTATTTGCCGGCTTATATACTAAAAAAGAGGGTGCCTGGCAAACACTCGGACATTTGCGAGGTTCCTCGATAAGTCGTGATCCTTCTTGAAACTCCAGTGCGCATGCTCCCAGCGTCGCGTGACTTCCACTGCCGTAACACTGCCCCTTCCTT